ATTTGAGTTAATGGCATGAATAGCAGCTATACCATAAAATTCAATTCATAAACGGTCAGAACCACCTTCGATAAATATTCATTAAACGACAGCACCTAAACAGCTTTTTTAATTTGAATTATAAAAAATTAAAACAAAAATAATGGAATTTATTATGCATTTATCTCAGTATGATTAATTAGGGGTTAGTACATTACCGCACTCATCGCTTCAATTTATAACTTAGCTCACATACAATTTAAAAAATTTATAGTGTAATATGTGCACACAAAATTGTAAGAAATAAAATATTAACGTTATTACATATCAAAATTATATAAAATTATATAAATAATAATTATACATTATTGTTTATCGCAAAGAAATGATAAATACTTAGTACCTAGCTTTTAAAAACAATGTAATAAAAATATATATAAATAATTATTTTTAAGTGTCATAAAAATAATTCGATTTTTTATTTTATAAGCATAATGTTTTAAATTAAAAATTCCTCAAAAAGATGCTTTTAACTAGTTTTAAACGAAAATTTGAATCGAACAAAATGTTGACACCTGATTGTTTCTATAAATTTAATTAAGGTATTATTAAGTTTTATTATATTAATTAATCTGCTCAAATTCGAATATATATTAAAATAATAAACATTTATATAACAAGCAATATATTAACACTTTTTTCAAGTCATAAAAATCAACTATCAATTACACAAATTAAAAATCAAACCAGAAATACATTGTTTAATATTTTAATTTAATAATAGATGTTTTATCAATTAATCTGATTCGCAAATTTTAATGTTATTTCTAAGAAATGAATATTTTAGATAACCTCGAGTTGGGTCTTAAATTTCAAAAATAGTATGAATTGGGTCCGAACGTATTTTATTGAGTACAGGAGTTAGCTCCCATATATTTTATCGACTACATGAGTTAGGTCCAGCCTATTAGCGATATCCAGAAGACACCATTTGGAGGTTAGGTAGAAAGTCTTCCAAAAAATTTGGTTTATGTTATACAATGGTAACGGTCTGATGTAAACATTATTAAAATATTAAAATTATTATTATAGAATTTTTTTGTGTGAAAAATTATTGAGTTGGCTAAAGTTTTAATTTATTTTTACTTTTATCACTAATAGTTTATTTATAATTATAGAGTTTAAATTACGGAAGAAATTTAAGACACACATCTTTCATTGGGAAAACATGAGTTGGGTAATTAAGGTAACAACAAGATAAAATCAACCGTGGACCCAATTCATGTATTATCAAATGTGACCATGGACCCAATTCGAGTATTATTAATTAACATCGCAAACCCAACTCGTGTTTTTTTAAAGCAATCAAATATCTCGGAACCCAACTCAAGAGTTCCCAATATTTTAACATTACATTTTACTGTAGAAAAAATGTGGGTAAAAAGTTATTCAAACATTTTAAATTAATCTATTAGTCTTATTACTTTAAAATGTTTATTTTAAATAAAATGTAATACATTATTATAGGTACGACTGTATGTTATAATTAGGGACCGGATTTATATGCAAATGCATATATATATATATATATATATTGGAATAAGCTTTTTGAAATCTGGTGAGCATTGTCCCCGATTTAGATTTTTCTTATTAAAATAACACTAATTTTACTTTGCATATTTCAACGTTTTAACCTATTAAATGCATATTCAATGTATATTTGTAATTTTATAGTGCATATGATTATTAATTACACATTTATTCGTTTTTGTCGTATTTTCACGTTCACAGCCGCATAATATCGATAAAATTGCGACCGAATACATAGGGTTGCCGAAGAAATAAGAAATCAATTCCCTCAAGTCGATGAACTCATTTCTGACGTCAAAAAAGTTTTTTAAAAGCTCCATCACGTACAACACTTTTCTGAAATATGGCCCCTAATCTAACACTTCCACCACAACCAATATTAACGCGTTGGGGTACATGGCTAAATGCAGCTTTTTATTATTGTAACAACTTATTAAAAAAATAATTCTTCAATTGAACAGTGAAGATTCTATTTCAATTAAAAAATCACAAGATTTGATAAAAGATATTAATTTGAAAACTAATTTAATTTACATTAAATCAAATTTTGAAATAATTCCGAGCACGATAAAAATGTTAGAATCAAAAGATTACTTGTTATCGGAAGCCATGATCAAAATTAAAAACGCAAAAACCACATTAAAAAAATCAAAAAACAAAATTAGTGGTATTATAAATGCCAAACTTTTTTACATTTATAATATATTCCACATATTTGTTCATAATTTTAAACAACATTTTAATTGAATATTTAAGTACATATTTAAAAATAAATACACATTTTATAGCATAATGCAGCATTTTTAAAAGCATATTTCGAGGATTTTTTGTGCATATAAATCCGGTCCCTAGTTATAACTATTAGAAAATGACAAACCGACGAACTGATTCGAGTATAAACATTTGAATAAACACGAAACAAAACTTGGTCTACGCGAATCGCGTTGTTCACCTTTTTTGATTCACAATTATGTTTCGTAAAGCTTATAAGGTTCGTGGCGTTCGTATGAAACGTGATCGGATGATGGGTATTGGTCGTAATTTCCGCAAAGTGCGCCATGCATAATATCAGCGTTTCGTCGGGCCCATAGCGTATAATAACGACGGCCGGGACGCGTGACTACGTGAATGCGAGATGATAACATCGAATGCGCAATTATTGCGCCGCCGTACATTAACGGTCGCGGGAACTTTCGCGTGCGAACGAAAACGTTTTAGAAAACGCGAGTACCGACGGGAACAAGCGTGTACGAAGCTTGGGAACACGTGATGATTTTATAAAAAGTCGAACATATAATTTGACCAAACATTATCGTGGCGCAACCGAAACGGGTTCGTCGTGAATAGGTGTAATCTGCAGCGGTACATTAACGGTGGGCGGTGGAAGGGGCTGGGTGAGGTAAAGGGCAATTTACCCTGCATTAAAGTACTTTGTGGGTGAGGTTTTAAAGCAATACGTTTTTTAACAAATAACGTCTAACATTATTTTAGTATATAAAATTAAAATATCAGCACAAAGCTATAATTTATTTTGTTTAACATTTTTTTTTCCCTTCCGTTATTCGCTTATAAGACTCACTTCGTGCTGATCCCGAAGTGAGTTTTACGAGCAGCGTCCACCGTTGCACACGTATCGTACCTTGACACCTCCTTTATTTTTATTTTCGAGTGTTTTTTTGAATAATTCCCCTACCCATATATATGTATTTATATGGGACGGGTTCTTCCACGTGCCAAGGGACGAAAAACGATTTCCTTAAATCAACCCTCGATGCACCTCTGGATGTAATACGCATATAGGACGATAAGTATGAGCCGTTTTGGCGTAAAGAAAAAATCTGTACGTGCAGTTGAAGAAACGGTGTTCGACATGGTGTCGTGCGCGTTATGCGGCGGGTATTTTCTATAACTCTCCGGGCACGCGTTAACCAATACATTTTCGTAAAATAACGACTTTTAACGTACGTTTTCAAAGCCAGCCCCCCCCCCCCCGTATAAAACGATTGCATGACCCGATTTCAGTAGTGGCGTAACACACACACGCACGCACACACGCACGAACACACGCGCATTAACCTATCAGGACGAGTGCGTTTCCTTCCGACTCTCATTAACCCCCGCGCGCCCCTCGGCACAACTGTCGAACCACTCGTCGCCACCGGTGGTAGGGAGAGAGTCTCTCGTCCGCAACAACATAATGTTATAACAAAAGGAACACGCGCAGCTGCAGAAGTGCATATTATTTTGTAACGACGTTATTGCGAGCGCGGCGACGACGACCGTTGACCGAAGGATTTTCGCCGCCGCGCGTCTAACGGCTGGTGATGGTCTGGAAGATAACGTAGTGCTAAAAACTATGGTAATAAAACGTTAATTTCGTATCAGCACCGTTAGCTGAAAAATAAATAATAATGTGACGCGTATATCATTGCGTTACATATACGAGTCGTGTGACGTACGCCCGATATTTTATTATCATTATTATTATTATTATTATTATTATAATACCTAGGCGAAAATTTCGCTTTAAGGGATATAATAGTTTTCTTCAAACACCGTGGATGTAGTATAATATAATACACCGTCGACGCGCTAATTGACTAATTAATTATCAAACCCGAATGTATAATAATTACCGTGCGCCCACATTAGCCCGCAACGGCGGCGGCAAGATCATGCGTCTACCGCCGTACCCCCGCGACGGTTAGGGATGGAAAGCGGCGCAGGATAGTGACGAATACGTGGCGCGGACTCGGTCGTGGCACGCGTCCGAAATAAACCGAAACTGCGTCGTCCCCGCAACAGCCGGCTCGCACTTGGTACGCGGCGGCAGCTGGCTAACGCATTTAATGTCGTCGCGTAGCGCAGCACATCTACGCGGTGTTTTTCGCTAGGGATTATTTCTGTTTGCCCAAACGCGACGAAGACGATGACGACCGTTACTACGATCGCGCGACGTATTTATCGGTTTTCCGCGCGTACCCTGCGCTTCCCGGACACGCCGTAACGCATCCGCCATCCGGCCGGCGAAAATGTTCCGTACGACCGCGTCCGCACAGCTATTCGCAAAAGTAATTGTCGGGACTCTTGTACGGGCGTTTTGCACGCGTCTTTGTGCGGAGATGCGTTCGGAAATTGCGGAAAACGGTTTACGACCGCGACTCCGTATTCTCGGTTAACAATCAATAGTGGGCGAAAAATCAAAGGGTTTTCGTGTACGCATTCATATGCGCGCGAGTGTGCGATTGTTCAATAGCACTATCGGTACATACAAATATATATATATGTATATATATATGGTTTAAATTTTTTTTTTCAACACACATCTATTATACTTAACATCCTTACACGTACACAGGGTGTGGCACTGATATACCCGCCGATTTAAGCCCCTCGCGCACCCGTATGCGATGCGAGTTCGAGTAACATGTTCGAGTCGAGTTCGGTCCGTCGATCCGTTTGCCTGGAAATCGTATCGTTGAGGTCATTTTTGATTTTTTTTTGTTTTTCGCATCGAACGATAGAAGAACAATTAGCGAACCCGTGTAGACGTGCCGACGATAGTCGAACGTCGCAATTGCAACGATAACAGGGACACCCTGTACGATACGCGTACACCTATGGTCGCATTACTATGTTACGTGCACTACGCGCGCGCGGCCGTTTGCAGCTGTCCCCGGGTGGCGGCCGCCGCAGCGGTCGCGTGCCCGAACATCTGCCCCCCAGCGCACAACAACACATGGCCCGCCTCCCGCCCGTCGTCGTCAAAACACAACTGGTTGCAGTCGGCCCAGTCAAACGTCGTCGCCGTCACCGTTGGAACACACGCGCGCGCGCGCTTCCCAGCATATTCTCGCCCCGTTAACCGTGCGGTCGTCAGGAAACGGACGCGGAGGACCAGAAGGTTTTTCCCAGGACGATCCGGAGCGGTCGCGTATGATAATACGTTGGATCGGCATATAACACACACACACGCGCAAGAAGAAAAAAAAAACAGGTCAGTGGCACGCGCGAATAGTGACAAATCTTAGTTTACCCGCGCCGAGGTCGTATTCGCTCGTAGCAGTGAAACGATTATTACGAGGTTCGGGAATATGTAGGTATTACCGTTAACCACGGAAAAGGGACGAGTCCATTTTTTCTTATTTTAAAAGCGATAAAAATCTAAAAACGACACGTTCCCCGTTCCTGTAGTCGAGCGTAATTTTCCGTTTCTGGCCGTTACGTGTGTTCGGTACGAATCGACAATGAAATCGAAATCGATAACAATGGACCCATTTCTGCGGTGAGTGATTCGTAAAGAGGAATAAAAAATATGAATTCCAATAACTTTTACGTGCGCTCCTTGGTCGCGGACGCTACGCGCACGCACGTTTGGTCTCGGTGGATTTTGTTTCGGGTCCCGCGCGATATGACGTCAGCGCGGGGCAGCGCGGGTACGCGGTGCAAAGTTTTCCGTTACATTTTTAACGGACTTTCGTGACGGTTTTTTCCAAGTCAGAACGCTCGTTTCGACTTGCGGAAAACGCAAAACAATCATCATCGAAATGCACGTACACGTAATTTTCAACGTGAGCGGTCGACGAAACCGTTTTACATTTTATACAAAATTGCATCGTAACATCTTTTTTTTTTTATTTATCCACCGGAAACCAAAACGATAAATGCGTTTTGCGTGTACAAGATTCGGATGACTAATTAAAAGTTTTTATTTTTTTTTTTTTTGTACCGATAAAAGATTTCACCGGGGAAATTATTGCTCGCAATCGTGAATCGATTTTATAATTTATTTATTAGCTTACATCGTACTGGTATGATTTTATACATTTTAAAAATCTCAAATTTCGATACTCGCGGTATAAAATTCTTTAAAACCGGTTGAAAAGATATTTTATATTTTAAACGATTAATTGTTCGTGTATAATTATTAAAATCAGTGATTTTTACTTATAAATATTGTGTACAGATTTGATTAATTTGGTTTCAACGTTTTTCGATTAAAAATACTAAAAATTCATAATTTATTTAAGTATAGGATTTGTATAATTGTTGGTATATTATTATATCAACAGATTGTATTAATATTTTTATTACAATTTTAATTCTATCGTAATTTAAATCTTATTAATATAGATATTTTATATTATATAATATTTACGAAAAAAGTAATACCACTAAAACTACAGCTGTCATGACCGTGTTCGGTGCGTCCCTCTACCATATTCAACTCCATTTTGTTTATAAATATCTACCGTTATTTTGCATAGAGAATGGTTAAACTCTAAAGACTAAAACGTCATTTGCAAGTGTTTCGATAGTTATTTATGTGTGCAGGTTTTGCTATCATTTTTTTTTTTTTTTTTTTTATGATAGATTATTGAATGACTTAAGATATTAAAAATAATAATAAATATATATATATATATATAAATATATATCAATTATGTAATAAATACAGTAGACCATAATTATGTTATAACTGTTCAACAGTTTATCTCTTAATATAATTTTCACTCTGAAATAATATTTATCTTTTTTTTAACTTCATAAGTAATTCATTAAGTTTTAATTCTCAAAAACTTAACATGTTTAAATTAATTTAATATATATTTTTTTTTTTTTATGAATTATATAACACAGTATACAACTTTTAAATGTAGTATTTAAAAATATGTTTTAATAAAATTAAATTCTGTAAAAGATATCCATGATTTCTATTTATTTAATAAATTTCGTAATAATTTGAGCGTATAATGATATTCAAAATTTAAAATAAAATGAAAACAAATAAAAAATGTTAACGTTAACTATACGAAACGACTACAGTTTTCTATAAAATGTATCTTTCTTTATAATATTATAAGCTGTGTCATATTTACAATTAAGTAAAATTGACTGCCTATGGCCTTCGTTATTAAGGGGCCATCGCATTCTTATGCATTTTTTTTTTACAAATTTCATACCATAAAATAAATAATATAAACAAAATATAATTTTTCAAAAAAATACAAGAAACCTATAGGGATAAAAAATGTATGACATCACAATTTAATTTGTGAAAATGTACAAGTAAATTATGATTATTGATTTGTGTTATACAACTCATGTATGAAGGGGTGCATATATAGATATGTTACCGTTGAAAAAGTGCCACATATTTTATTTTTCCTAAGACCTCAAAATGCCTAAATATGGCCCTGATTATATGTATGTAGTTGTTAATTATCACAGGTAGTTTTGACACAGTCCATACACGAAAACTGACTGCGAAAATTATGGTTACAACTTAATATTTAAACAGTACACCTTACATAACGAGTGCAGTCATACATCCAGGATTAAACATATATTACATCAGAAACTGAATTGTACGAGTATGATATGTTTCCGAAAAACTATAAATCTGAATATTTTCATAACGGTCAGCTGAGAAGAAAAATCGTTATACAACTATTTTAACCTGTGTCCGAAAATGCGTAGCAAATGTACAAAATTGTGAGGGACGCAACTGCTCTTAAAATTCGTTATCCTTTCTTTACCGACACGAACAATTTTTTCTGTCGTATTCTACCCAATCGATAACGTACGTAAATAATATAAGAAATGCGCTTTTCGCATTGTCTGACATATTATGTTGGGGATATTTTCAGTGAGAAGTTATAATATGATATACTATCTATACGAGCTTCAATGTAACAATTTAATTTCATTGAAAATATTTAAAAAAAGGAAAAAAGGAAAAAAAGAACTACATCCCGCCAATTCTTTTGTTCTGGTGACTGGAAGAAAGACAAAGTGCTTTAAGAGTGCTTTCTGTATTAACCCAGAAACCAAAGAGGGTAGCTTTAATTTTCAGCACCAGATTTTAATGAATATAGTTTTTATTACAATGTCTGATTTCAAATTACTAATTAGTACGCACATAATATATTTTCTTTTTTTTTATGACTTAATATAAATTTAAATAATAGTTGTATACCTTTGGTATTAGTATTCACCCAAAACTCTTTCAAAATGCTTGTTATCAATTATTACATACATAAAACCTTATTTTTTCATAAATATTTAGTTACATCCCTAAAAATAATATAATTAAAATGTGTGTGTTTTTGTTAATTTTATAGTAAAATATTATTTTAGTTAAATTTCACTATTCTCTATTGGTACTGTTTTAAAATATTTTATTATTCTCTTTGAAAATTTTGTTTTGTGTTTCAATTATTATTTCAAATATGTAGAAATAATCAAAAAATGCGATTCAAATCAAACACTCAACATTAAAACTGTCAAGTTGATAAACGACAAACGTTTTATTAAAATATATGTACATCATTGTATTATGATTTTAAAAATTTTTTGTTAAAAAATTTATCATACTCATTTCGTAGAAAAAAAAAATAAAAATGATGATACTTAAATATTCACAAATCATTATAAATACATTATTGTTCTACTTTGAAATTATTAAAATGTTAGATCGATGATAGATAGGTATATTTTTATACTCTCTTAACTAGAAGTATAAGTAAGAATAAGAATTTTTTTCACTGTAGAATTTGATAGCATAGTTTTTTAAATATTTAAATGAATAAAGAATAGTTATTTGTTTGCTCATTTAAATAAATTGAAAAAATAACGGAAATCCATTGTATACAGAGGTAAGCACAATGAAAAAAAATATTAAACGAAATGTTTGTCTTGAAATTAATCGTTAGCAATAAATCCTGCCTGTCAATAAAATTAAAAACAATCCACTTATTTAACTAAAATGTTTGCCCATCGCTAAAATAAATTATTCCAAACTTGTATTTCAGATGTATTATTTATTGGAAGATTTATGAAATTAATTAAAAAAAGTCCATACTTCACAAATATTAGTTTAATTCAGTTAAATGTATATCTAAAACAATTCTTAAGTAGTCCAATATGAACACAGAACATTTTTCAATTAAAAAATAAAATAAAAACGAAAATAATCTTCCTAGTTATTTATGATACTCACATAATTATAATATTTAAAAAGTGATTACATAAGCATTAACTTAGCAAATTGATTTACGTTTAAGATAATATTGTAGTTATCCATGTGTTAATTCGTATAAATTACATAAGATTTACATTAGTAAATTGAATACATTAACTGACCAGTATATTAAATTAAAAAAAAAATGTAATTTCAATAATTATAATATTTATTTACAAAATATCGATGAAAAATGTATTTAACTATCATGTTTTATTTTTGTTAAAACTAATGATTGCATTGTATTTTTAAATACAACGCAGTACGAACATTCAGAGGTGTAATTACAGAATAATAAATCAAAACAACTAAAGAATATGATTTTTATTTAATTCAAAACAATTCAAATGATTTTATGAAAGAAAGTACCTAATGATATACTGCTCTATGTTGAAATAGTATAAATAGTTCTTGGACTGAGTTCAATTAAAATTTTATTGAGACATAACTTTATACTTTAAAATTATTGTGATAAATCAAATACTGTTCGGATCGAGACACTTAAGTCTAATTGTAACTAAAAAATAGAAGGTGTGCAACTAGAGTAGGTAGATGAAATTTATTATTATCATCGGAACGCGTTTTTCGAAAAATAATGAATAGAAGAGCGAGTAAAAGCACCGCGGGAGATCGCCACCAAAGCTTTAGATTGATTAATGAACAGAACTTTACCAAACGCACTCTCTAACATTTCACGCATACATGCACGCATAAACACACTCACACAGCGGTCACGAGGACTAAACATCAGAGGAAATTTCGCCTTGGGGCATGTCTCTTATGGTGTACAAAATTCTCCATAAGTTGTGGATTAGAAGCATAAAGTAGGTTAGGATTTGTTTGTCAGAGGTCAATTAATGAACGGATACTTGGAAATTAATAATACTGGGAATATCACATATAGCAACTGTTATTATGCTAATAATTCAGTTGCCACATATTACGGTAATGATGTACGCGGTTATGACTGAACG